ACATGATGCCAGGGAACTACCCGGCATATTTCGATTAATCCACCTTGGCTGCTAAGCCAAGTTTTTCTACCAAAAAAAAATAGTAGGGAATACAATGATGAGACCATGTGAGCTAGTGAAGAATGTTAAGACTGTACATGCTTTTGTGGCCATTACTATTATTTTCTAATAAAGAATATCTTGTGTTTCCTTCATATCCTCAATGTACCATATGGAAGAAGCTAAAAAGATATTGTGTGGCATTTATCTCTTTCGTCATGTTCCAAATTTGTTTGGAAGAGGTTGGACTTGAACTTTTGAATTCTCTGCAGGCGAAGGTCATGTAGTTCAATTGATAGAGGACGACATTCACTTGAAAGGAGCATAAGTTCTCTTGTGTCATTTTCTTGTGACATTATATGTTACACCATTCAATAATTTTGTATAATTTTTGTTGTTTGGTTTAATATTTATACCAGTTACAATAACTTGCAAATTATATATTTTACAAATAACGGTTCACATTTTTCGGGTTAAGGCATGTTTTTTTTAATTTCATATTTAAAAATTCTAATAAAAATAAAGAAATTTGGTAAAAAATATTGATACAAAAAAAATAAAATAATAAAATGAATATAATCTAAATTAGAAATATGTGTTTATGGTATATCTAATAAACACAAATTACATGAATTATAACATAGAGTATCACAAAAAATGACATAGTTATTAGCAAAACCTTGAAAGGTTACCAGGTGAAGTTAGACACTATACTACAATCATTTTAAAAAGGGATTATTCTACTTCCATAATAGTAATAGTTTTGTTTTGAGACTAAATCATATTTTTAGATGGGGGTTATTCTAAATTGTCATGTCATCTTCAATTATTTCAAACACTTGACTCTGCCAAATCGAAATAAAGTTAGTTTCTTATGCATTCCTTTCCTTTATTAAAGTATATCCGGTAAGATTTTCTGATGAACACACTTATCTTTTCTTCTTTTTTTCTCCCGCCTGTCATCTTTGTTTCCGCCGTAACCTTCCTTCTTTCCTTCTGCTGCGCTAAACCTTCTTCTCCTGACAAACAACCTTATGAAAGTATATGGGGTAGTAACCGAAGAGATAACACAAAAGATACCAAAAAGTAAAGATGAAGAATGATGAACTTTATTGATAGAAACTTGAATCTAACAATAATGGAAAAATCACAAATATTTGGATGTGTTCTAGTCGTGTTAGACACTGTTCTTAAGACAATATTTGCCCTCGCCATGTTACAGAATCGGGTTTGTTTGGAAATTTGCCTCTAGGACATAAAAAACACAAAAAACATGCATTTATTGAATGTTCTCAAGAATTTAGGAATGCAAAAGTTCTTTTGAAATCCTGCACTAGTTCACCCATTTATAGGCAACACCTGCATAATTAAAATGATACAAAATTAAGTACACAACCCTTGGCTTGTAAGGAAATAACCACCATGCATTGTGAAGGGTTGCCAACTTAATTATTATCCTTAAATTCTAAATTAATTATTTTATTTTACAAACTAAATTTCCAACATACCTCCACTTAGTTTGTAATATTAAATAATTACACAATCATGATAATCGCGCTTAAGAGGTGGTAACTTTCATCGTAAAAAACATCGTAGTGAAATTAAGTCACCTGACTAGCTAATTTATTGGTGGCTCGTTGCTTAAACCAATAATCAATCTAGTATAGACTTAATAATGCAGACAGAAATACTCATAGCATTCCTTATAATTTACATTATGAATTAGCACAATTCTTGGCCAGGTGCTCATCCTAGATACTTGATCATATACAAAAGATAACCTCAAACTTTTGCTAGAAGCGGGACCACCTCTACGATCAAATAGGTGAAAATTATTTCAGTTTATTACTACACCGTAATGCAACACTCAGTAATAATTTCATTAAAAAATTTCTCTCAACCTTCTCACTTAAGAATAACGTATATAGTGCACCAATACTTGGGAATGGTATAGACGAATTTTGGTGCTCACAACCACAAAACAAATTCTTGTTACCCTTTAAACCTTGCAATCTAGGGGTAGTACTAGAAGAAGGTTGGGTTTTAATTGTTCGTGATTTTAGTATTGAGATTTTATTCTCATTTCTCATGTTGTCAAAAAACACCAATTCTCTCGAAATAGATCTGGTACATGGATCGATAACAAAATTGTGATTTCACAAACACAACACCGACAACATCAAAACTTGTATCTCATTAAGAAATAAATATCTTGAATTAATATCTCTATATTTATCCAATGTTAAATTCTAAACAATGTTCAAGAAATATTAATCTAACTATCACCATATAAGGTTACATGCGACACAAGCCAAAGCCCTTTGGCCACTTCACTTCTTTATGTACTGAAGATAGTTCAACAAATTCAGCTTTCTTTTCTTTTATATATTAGAGAGAGTGATTACTATCTGTTTTACTTATTAAGAAACATCTCTCACTACCAAACATGAATTTCTAACCACTAACGGGTTATAATCACTAATGCTAAAATATCAACTAGTATTCGAATAGCCCTTAAAAATAATAAAATAGATTTGCAATGAATAGCCCTTATAAATCTAATCGGTTATAGTAAAATCATAAACCCTAGTCTTTCAAAGACACATTATTATTTTACCATTAGATTTGCAATGATCTTACTTAGGCATTTAGTGTAATCAGTGAGTCACACATCACACAGAAAATGTTAACACAACTCTAATGCACATATAAGACATCCAACATCACAAAGATTCTAGTTTAGTAATTTGATCGTCACATTTAACACTGATGTTAAATATAAAACTATGAGAGTACAAACTTTCTCTACATTCATATGTTGACACTTTGTTAATAACTTATCAACATCATATGAATAAGAAAGTACAAACCCCCACTATTTCTTTTATTATAACAACTAAGATATTACCTCTTTCACCAATCTAATTTAATTTGAACTTAGAAAAAAAGATTTTTCTTAGTATCTACTGCACGTTTTAAAAATTAGTATGTGCATTCATTATAAATATATATACAAAAGCAAATATCTATTACATCTCAAATCAAGACTTCACTAGTACACACATCTTTTTGTTACTTGATAGCACAAAGCATTATGAAGTTCCATATATACATTTTCATATAAGTCAACACTAGGATAATACTTTCCATAATTAACAGGTGAATATGAAAATCTTAAACAGAAATTTCTAACTAGTAGAATAAAATATGCAAGTCAAACTAATCAAAGAAATCATAACACTTCGAATCCAAATATACTATTGATGTATCTTGCTATCAATAGCATATTACTAATGGAATAATGATGACAATAAAATATATACACTTTTAGCAGGCATTTTCTTCTCATTTTTATTTAGAATTAGGTGTCAATTAATTAGAATTAGTTTACTTTTGGGTTGATTTTGTATTTCAGGATAATTAAGGGGCCAATGTGGAAAATCAGCATAAATGAGGGCCAAATTGCACAAAAGAGCATCATTCTAGACTGAATTGGAAGCTGCTGAAAATCAGGTTGTTGGAAGGTCGAGCAGAGCTGAAGCAAGTGGAAAAATTATTGCTGAGGAAGGAAGAATGGCAGCAGATGATCACAACTTGGAAGAATCTGCAGCAGGCACTCAATTGAGAGGAAGAAGGATAGCTGTTCTACAACCAAATTACTGCAGTAGCTGTTGCTACTGTCAATCAAAGAGGAACCACGAGATGAAATCTTGGTGCCCAAGGAAGGAAATTGCGTTGCCATCACGTCAAGTTGTTGCTGTTGCAAGTGGAAGAAGAGAAAGAGGGAGAATTTGTGATAAATAGCAGCTGCAACTCTGCTACTTACCAACTGATTCTGCTGTTAAGTTGATGGATTGGCTGCTGCAGAAGGGTGAGCAATGGTTTAGCAAGTGACCCAGGAAACAAGGAAGAAAATGGCAGAAGATTGAGGCAGAATTGGGGTCTGGAAACACAATGATCGAAGGAAGCATGATGTTGATGCTGCTGCTTAGTGACTGCTGCAATTTGAGCTGTGATCAATAAAGAATGAAGAAATGGAGATTTGTGGCTGCAAATGGTGAGATGGCGCCGGAGAAGAAGACCAAGGAGAAGCAGCAATGATGAGTAGAAGGTGACTGATTACGGCTGAAGAAAGAAGGAGCTGACTAGAAAAGACAACAACTTTGCCCAATAACTTGCCTTTTGGGCAAGTTGTTGAATAAAAAAATGCCTTCAACCGCTGTAACTTGCTGTCTCCTCCAATCTGCAGCAACGAAGGCCAAAAATTTACCAATCCAAGCCTCTCTAAATCTCTATAATAGTCAGTTAATAGCAGTAGTTGAGAAGGACAGATTGGGTAGTTAGAATCAGTTACAAAAACAGTAATTAGGTAGTTAGTTAGTTGGTTAGAAACAAGGTAGTAGCAGGAACAGGAGTGCAGACTGTCACTCTGTCAAGTGGCGAACACCACTCGCCTAAGTGAGCAAACAGTGACTGCTCTGCTACCATCTTCCCCTTCTATCCTCGAACCTTTTGATCTTGAATTATGCCTTATCTTTTGCACTTTGTTGCTCCCATGTTTCACCCAATAAACATGATTAGCTAACTCAGTGGAGGATTCAATCACTACTATCTTTATGTAAATGTTCTGATTCAGTTTTCCTTGATGAGGCATTTTTTCTAGTTTAAGTGCTTTAATTAACCTTTTGATTAAACTGGCCACTTAATCAAATGTGCATGCATGTTATAGAGATATGAGAGGGCAAACATAACTAGAACGTCTTAAATGAGTCTATGACAAAAGAGGAAATCTACCCTTTGGTTTCAATCATCAACGAGAGTTAGGTGATTGGCATAGGTAATCAAGAGGGCTTAAGAACTTAATGGCTTAGATTAATCTCAATAATCTAACTAAGAGGTAGGTAATTTAGTAATCTAAGACTCTTTACTCTGCCTGAGAGGAATTGTAAAGAATACATGTTCCCGATTAAACAATAAATTATACACTATATGATTAATTGAATCAAAACTGGATCTTAAAGATAGGAAGGTAATTGACCCTTCTGCCTCTTCACCCTATCAGGTGACTATTCTCACTCTCTCAAGACATTCAGCTTCCTGCATTGGCTTTTTTAATACCTTCTCTTGCATTACTAAACTTCCTTCAGTTATATCTTGTTCAGACTGGTCCGTATCAACATTATTCCTTTTCTGACTGTTCTCAGTTTTAGTGAATTCCTGCTGCTTTTCAGTTTGATCTAGGTCGCCTTTGGCCATTATTGTTGCCTCGGTTGGTATTTCCTTGTCAGTCTGCCCTTCCGCTCGCTTTCCTTTCCAAGCCTTTGCTTGTGGCTTCCTATAAACAGTGGACTCATGTCCATACCCCTTGCAATTCAAGCACTTAACTGGGTTCCATTCGTATTTGACCTTTTGTTGCTGAACTACACCATTCTCATCATCAAACCAAACTTCTTCTGGCATTGTCTCGTTGATCTTCATCTCCGCTAAGACTCGAGAATACCCTGTTCTGTTGCCCATGGTTGTCATCTCGTCCATCTCCAGGGGATTGCCCAACAGACTTGCAATTCGACTTAGTATTCTTGATGTCCAATATCTGAGCTGCAATTTAGGGAATTGCATCCACACGGGAATCATCTTCTCAACATCCCAATTTTTTACTATTAAAGGACGGCCATTAAAGTGATACACAGCTCTTCAAGATATCTTCTTTAGTCGAAACTGATGTAAATCTTACTACATAGACTCCATTATTAGGAAGTAAAACTTTATCCACCCTAATTTGCCCCATAATCTCCTTAGGTAGCCATTGACCACATAGAAGAGTGGGTTTGCACCCAGTATATAGCATATAATCGATGACCGCCAATAATCGACGGCTTCTTGGATTTCGTCCTTTTGAATCTTGGCTATCAATTGCTTATGGACAGATTTTGGTTCAATATATTCAAGTTTCCTATTTAAACCAAGATGATTCTTAGTATCCACATTTCCCCAATTATTAAGATTTTCGCTAACCCCAGCCAAACTCTTTTTTTGCCAGTTGAGGAATTATTCCCATGCCCAGATGTTTCACCAACTTGAACAATCTTTTGATTGCACAATTTCTCTAAAATTACAGATCTAGATACCAAAAATGCCGAAATAGGGCTACTAACCTTTTCCGGCGCTTTCGATCGAACAATCTTCCATTGTTACTGCTTAACGAAAAATTTAGATGTAAAACGTCCATCTGAAAAAGTCCTTCACCGATGTTAATTCTAAACATTTCAATTGCTGTTGAGCAAAACCCTTAGTGATGGGTAAGCAGGATTTCCGGCTATCGGAAGTGGAGATCTGCACTCTCAGCACCTATTCTCGTGAAATTTTCCTTCAGCAGCCTAAACTTTTTGGAGCTTGAAGCGCCAATCAAGACCTATGGTACTCTTCCTCCTGTTTTCTTCGCCCTTTTTATTTTATTCAATGTGTTTTTTTCCCGCTCTGTATTATGTGAGAAGACTTGCTGTCAATATAAACTTGCTGTGAACCATCAGACTTGCCGTCGAATTGCTGTTCCTCCATTGCCGTGGATTTGTTTGGAGGTTGGCGCCAGTGTGCTTGGAGGTTGCGCTGTCCTTCAATTACCAAAATCATCCAAGCGGCGCTCAAATCTCCTTCGACCGCTGTCAATTTGCTCTTCCTCCCTCCGCTGCCGAATCGCTCTTCCTCCATTGCCGTCGATTTGTTTGGAGGTCACCGCCGCTGTCGTGCTTGGAGGTAAAAAAGAGCCTCATGCAGAATTTTAGGTAATTTCTTGATTTCTTCCAAAAGATTATGGTTCAGGAAAATTTTTTTTTTTTTTTTTGATTTCCAGGCAAAACTCAATATACCACATCATCTCCGATTGAAACAGAGAATTCAAATACTTTTTTTTAAAAAGAAAGGATATTTGATTCTTGACAAACATCGGGAAGCAAACATCTATAAAAAAGAATTTAAATACATGTCCCATATCCTGAAGAAACTTTGTTTTAGGACCTACATGTAAATCACGATCAGGGAGAAAGCAACAAATCTCTACCCTTTGTAACTTTTTTGAGTTTGAACGTGGTTCTCTGAATTTATTATAGGAAAAGTAGATGTGAATCCTTACCAAAGTTGGGAAGGGTAGTGACTACAAGTTTTGATTTCTGTCTGACAATTCTTCTTTTTCTAAAGTCACCTGCTACTTTTGCAGTTCAAAACAAGTTGCAGTGGTGCTGCCAGCTAAATTCGCAATTGAGTTACTGATACAAGGTCTGCAAGAATATTCGGATCTTAAATGTTTCAGGTAGTCGTGCCCCATCGTTGATGGTATTAAGTTATTAGTTATCTCCATTTACTTTATTACTTTATGAGCTACAAAATTTCATATAATATTTCCCTCTTGATGAATGAGTTTGCTTTTATTACTCTTTCTTTATAAAAGAATGCTTTTGTGTATTTACGTTGGATGGTAAATGATTTGTTGTAATTTCACTTTGGGGGAGTTGGGTCCGAAATTACCATATAGTTCGGTTTACAAGCTCCGCTTTAGATGTTGGATGATTGTCTTTGAAGGTTATAGGATTCTGCATTCTCAGCAATTATCTGCTCTATTGGTAAAGCTCTTTCGTATATATGAAGGATATTTGAGTTCCATATAAATCGTTCATTACGCTATCTTCTTGGGGATGTCAACATTGATGCTCAACAATTTCTTAAACATGTTGTTTAAAGTGTCATATAACTTGTTCTTCTGTCCCATTATAGTTTTTCTATATGTCTTTTCTCCTCTTTTGGGTTCTGTTTTAGGAATAATGTGCTTTTACTTTCGGCTTTGTACCTGGGCTATATGGACTGGGCGCCCCTATCTTAAAAAGGAACCTCATGTAGATACCATGGAATAAAATAAGAGTTGATCCTATTCATGGAGATTATTTTTCTTTTTCTTTTTCTTTTTTTTTTAATTATACGAATAAGAGTGCTTTTGGGTGTCCTCAAGATCTGTTTTTCAGATACCGCTGCATCCAAGGTTAATTTTTACTGTGCTATATTTTTTGTTTGTAATGTGTGTGATGTAGTATTTTAAGTGCTAAATATCCAAGTAGAGCAGCAAAGTGTTTGGAAGTTTTAAATTTTGAGGCTGGTATTTTACAGCAAACTGTTGCTCACATTAGTGCTAACTTGAGTGGAAATTTGACATATTTTAACGTTAAATTTTAAAAATTCAATCTAATGTTGAACGGGGCATAGTTTTCTAATTGTAACATCTATAAGATTGAATCTTATACCACATGTTGATCATAACTTTGACACTTTGTATTCAAGTATCAAAGCTTCTGCTCTTTGTAAACAGAGTGCTTTTATCAAGTTACAAACTTCATCAATAAGAAATTTTTGCTCTGCCGAGTTTCAAGGCTGGAACCTTCAAGGTTGTACTGGAAATTTGTAGAAGTTTGCATAAAAAATTCTTAAATGAAAGGTTAAAGATGTTTTATTAGGGTGACTAAAGGTCTCCTGGAATGTAAATTATCATAAAGGTTTTCCGAAGGTTTTCTGCTTTTGTTTGAGGTATTGTATTTTATTTTTATCTTTTGTAATTTGATCATTTGTGCTAATTAGGTATCGGCTAAAAATAATCTCAGAACTTAATAAATTAAGAAAGCTATGAAGTGCTATATCAGGAATGCATATTTCGTAAGCAATGTGCAACTAGCATTGTTCAAATTATACTTTCTGTTTAATGATTTATCTCAACTCGTGTAGCTTGCTTTTGGCAAGCGTATTGTTTATTAGGTATATAGGCTTGAAAAAGACTACAGTAGCGTATTTGGTGATGGGAAGATTGAAGTTGAGTACTGCAGCGCTTCATTCTATCTTTCGCGACAAAATATACGAGGCAGTTGAAAATGTATTGCCACTGCCCCTGCTACTGATTTATTTTGTCTTTTTCAAACTTTGGTTTGTTTCTTTATGGATCTCATTTACATCATCTTTGTTCCCCAACCTCAAATTTTTCTATTTTTTTGTTTCTTTCACTGGAATTTCCAAGCTTATAAATTTATGTGCCAATTCAATATCAGAATGTTTGAAAAACTGCTGATGATGGCGGTTTCCAACTCAAGAGACCAAATTTTTCACATACAGAATTCCGAAGTCGGGTTGTATGTGAATTCTGATGAGATTGGGTGGCAGAGACTCCAGTTTTTACACAAATTTTTGTCACCTTTGGAGAAATTATCTTCGATTACAAGTTTGAGAACAGTTTGATAAGGGCTGCAGTTTATGTAAGAATAGTATTCTATGCCCTGGGAGACAATGAGACAAATTCTTCCTCTTGTTACTGAACGCTTCTGGGATTTTCCATATGAAGTGGAAAATTACAAAAGATGATCTAGCTGCTCTACTCTTAACGGTGTTTCATGCTACCTCAACAGCACCTAAAGGGAATATTCATACTTTTGTGGAAGCTACTTTCAATATTTGCAATTTCCAAAAAACACTTTCAATATTTGGTGAGAACCCTGCTTCTAAACTTGAGTACTTAGCATTGTCTTCATCCATTCTTGTGCCTTTGCTGCACTGAATCATTATGTCAAATTTATTTTGGTTTACTTTCTCTTCATAATTCGATATAACTTACAATCATGCAAGTGAATTGGAGATTAGAGAGCCAAAAAATAATTAGATTTATATGGCAGTTTCTTTTGCAATGAAGTTTATTTTTCCTCTTTGTAGATTTTGAGTGCCACTAATTCGCAAATTCAACCGCCTGAAAATTGTGATAATTTGCCAAGGAATGATCTTAATGACAGACACAGTTTACATACATCTCTTTCTTATTTCAGTGAGTTCAGCAATGGAACAAGAGAGCATTTATTTTGCCATGCCTGAAGCATGGAACAACACTATTATTTAACAAAGATCTAGTTCTGATATCTTACTGTACTAATTCTAGGTACCCATACGGATCATGCAACGAAGACCTTCCCCTCTTAGCATGTAGTCAAACGCCTTGTTGATCTCCGAGAATGGGAGTTCGTGTGTCACAAACTTGTCCAGCTCCATCTCCTGGAAGACAAAATTAAGTACGAAGTGAATAAATAATCTCGAAACTACTTTCTGTGTAACTCCTTATTTCTGACTGTGTGTATGAGAAAAACTCTACCTTGTTCATGTACTTTTCAACAACACCTGGAATGTCGCTCCGGGGCTTGTAGTTCCCATAGAAGGTACCCTTGAGAGTCCTCTCATTTAGCAGATTTACAGGGTGAGTTTTGAACGCGTCGTCTTTATTCGGCACACCAACAAGTACAGCAACTCCCCAACCCTACAGGATTTCAACAATCAGTATGATGATAGTCAGATAGATGATAAAGAAGTGGGGTGGAAGTGATTACGTCATGAACGCATTCAAATGCAGAGATCATTGCATTGACATTTCCAGTGCATTCGACACTGCGATCCACTCCTCCATCAGTCATTTCAGCAATCACCTAGTAACACCAAGCCAAGAGATTAGATGATAGGTAATTCGGGCATAAAACTGCAGAAAACTATCACAAGAATGTTCTTTTTGTTGAAAAAGAAGGGCGAAACAACAAAGGACAATGAGATAGGCGAAACTGTTCGAACCAAGAGACAGATTGATTAACACTGAAATCCACAATCTACCTATACAGAACTTGAATAGAAGACAGCATAACGCCAGTATCTGTTCTTGCTACACATTGAAAATAAACTCATGCTCTCTAAAATCATTGATCAACACGAGAAAAGAGAACAAAGGAGAACTTCTTTCATCAAACTTTAAATCCTAATGTGTTTCCAAAAATTAGAATAAAGTATCCTTAATGAGTCAAAAGTTACTTTTCTACACTAAGACTTGGTTCTGGATGAAATATCCAAGAGAACCGAATAGAACAACATCACTTGCCTCTTGAACGGGCTTGTCATAATCTTTGGGATTCACAAACTCGGTAACACCGAACTTCTTTGCTGTGATAGTACAATAGTTGCAAAACAATTAAGAGAAGTTCAGGTCTCCATAACTCCAAATAATAAATGCAAAATTTACTTGATAGACTCACCTCCCTCAAACCTAGCAGGGTTCAGGTCCACCCCAATTATCCTCGAAGCCCCTGAGACACGAGCACCTTCTGCAGCCTAAGTTGAATAGCACACACATACCACAAGTTAAATAGCCTTCATCTACAGAAGTGTACTGTATAAAAGAAATAAAGAGATCGAACATGATCAAGTAACAGGACTTACAGCAAGTCCTACTGCACCGAGTCCAAAGATAGCAACCGTTGACCCCCTTTTCGGTTTCGCTACGTTCACAGTTGCACCGAATCCTGCAGCGGCAAAATCCAATAGTTCGCTCAAAATTCCTCAACAAATAGAGAATCCCAACAGAAGAAAATTTTAAGCAGTACCTGTTGCTATCCCACAGCTAAGAACACAAACTTTATCAAGTGGTGCTTTAGGATTGATCTTGGCAACGCAACCAACATGCACGCATGTATATTCGCTGAAGGTTGAAGTTCCCAGGAAGTGGTATATAGGCTGCCCATTTTTGGAGAACCTTGACTTGCCATCATGTAGCATCACGCCTCTATCAGTGTTTATCCTTAGAAGATCGCACATGTTGCTTTCTTCCGATTTACAATGGCGACATTCCTTGCACTCTCCAGTGAACACGGGAAGCACATGATCCCCTGGCTGCAACTCTGTCACTCCTTCACCTACACTCTCCACAATTCTATTCCCCAGTCCCATAAATATTGAAATAACACACCATTAGGCAAAAACATGAATAATTATTTCTCCACTAATCATATGGACAATCATCAGAGTTAAGCAGATAT